CAGCAGTGGCCACTCTCACAAGGTCAATGTCAGAGGGGAGGGCAGTGGTGATGGAGGAGGAGTTTGGGGGGGAAGAGGGGGAGGACGGAGAGAGCTGGAGGGTGAGAGTGGAAGAGAGGGAGAAAGGTAGAACAAGCTGTGGTGGAGGTTTAAAATGCACTTTTAAAGAAAAATGTTGTGTAACAAAAACATTTGTGTACCAGCTGTATCAAACTCTTGACACAGCAGTAAACCCCCTTACGCCTCGTGACCTTTCGTTTCTCTCCTTACATCCGCTCTCTCCGGTACCCATTTTGTTCTCCATTCGTTTCCTCTCCTTGACTCTGTGAGATGTCATCGTGTTTTCTGTCTCTGAAAATATGGCAGTGGTTGGACAACTTGCATACAAAGATCTATTGTATACACTCTTCTTGTGGATTATTTGAATGCAGGGCAGCGATACCTGGTGACACTTTTACCTTGAGTTGCGCACCCTTTGGGGCCAGCATAATGTCGACACAAACAAAGCACCAAGGCCTCCATAATCTTTTCTGTGAGGCAGGATAAACAAATCAAATGCAATGATTCCAGGCCTGATATTCTAGAAGATTTATAGAAATATACAAAGATATAAAACCAAAGAGTCCATTTTAATAAAACTTTATAACCATTAAAAACAAGAAAACAAACATTACTTGTCGTCAATATTTCTGAATAGCTAACTGTGTTCACAAAAGGTGCTGGACTGAATAAAACTAGACTTGTACCTCAATCATTGTGCGTTCTGCATGTTGGGCTTATTGATATGCTGAAGAACTGAACTGTACATATCATACACATTCATGCACATATTTTCACATTTTGTCTGCATTGTTGCAGTGGTGTATGGTGCCTGTTTGCTTGTTTTTTCCCCCTCTTTATTTTTGCACTGGACATTCTGTACCAAAATAATAGGAGATTAGCCAGGCCTGCACAGAATCAATCACCAGCGATCAATGCAGGGCGGTTCGATTTGTGTCTGACTTAATACCAACTTGCTCTGATGTCATGCACACGTGGGCAATGATGACCTCACAAGCTCGAGCCAGACGCAGTCGTTGCTCTCTTCCGACTGCCAGACGCAGGGCAGGATGGAAAACGCCTGATCAAACAGCTGATTGGCTCTTAGTTTTGACAACAAACACATTTTGCTAATTTTTTTGTGTGATTTTATTATTTAACTCTAGATTGTAGCTGTTTCATGTCTCATGTTGTGCAATGAAGGTTTAGTCAGTTAACAAACAGATCTTGTGTTGTTGATAATGATAATACGTTTATTTATGTATCCAAACGTGGTCTGCAAACTAAAAGTTACCAGAAAGTTAACAAAGTTTGCTTTAGAATCGCTCATGTTGGGGCACAGACTAAAACAGAGTTGCAGATGCAGCGTGCCCGGTGGAATCAAGACCTAAGATGGTGAACATGACAAACAGTATATCTGCTAATGACAATCTCACTATGTTAGCATTGTCACTGTGAACATACTGACACAAAGTCTCACAGAGGTGATAAAAGGCACAGAAGGATAAAAACGTGCCTCGCAGTTCTGCTGTGACAACAAATCTGTGAGTCACTGAGATGAAGCAAAGTTTGGAGGAACAGGATAATTTGTGATCCCTCCAACAGAGAAACAATGACCTGCATTGCCCTTGGTCTTTTGGGGAGCTTAATACAATTTTAATTGGAGGCTGAATCTGTGGCTGTCCTCTAACTTAATTTAAGGTTCGAATCTTGATCTGTAATTGCAGATTTGGCTGCAGGAAAGCACCGGAGACTACATAATCACAATCAACAAGGTAATACATGCAGAGACATAATGGACTTTAATGACACAACTGACTGGGAGTTCTCTGTGCACATGGAGGCAGGACATGTGGTAGTTTAGTTCAGAAAGAATCAAGTCTATTGGAAGAGACTTACATCAGGTGCCTTAGACAAGCAGGGGAACAAAATAGAAATAATCATACTGGTTATCAATAAATGTTACACTCCATCCATCTGAGACTGAGGTTAACACATAGTGCAGCTCTTCTGGACAACAAAAAGAAAACTTTGTTAATATGATGATAACGACAGTCAATAGCAAATTAAATACATGGGGATAACCATAAAACCGCACTCTCTGTGTTGACCCTCTCACCCCATTTGTACTTCTTCTTCCTGAACATCTCCCCAGGGTTCAGCCACCAAGCTGACCTAGAAATCCAACTAAATATCGACTGCCCAGTCCCACTGAGATGATTAAATGGGGGTGGTATTCACAATAGAACCCAAGTATCTTAATTCAACCCAATTACAGGTAGGACTGTACATGTGGAAGATGTTAGAGTAAATGTCACTGTACAGTTTTCATGGGTAATTACCTTGCTCCAGTGTGACAGGGGGTTATTTGGTGGGTAGGGATTAGAACAGACCACAAAGGGGTAGAGCAAGTTTCCCCATCTGATTCTGTAACTTTCAATCAGCGTGCAAAGATGAGTGTTGCAGGGGGCACATTTTTACCCGCGTAATTAAGAACACTGTTTTAACACCAAATGCCAGTGGTTGACCACAAGAATTTGCTGTTAATTACCAGCTAATTGCTGACATTTTGAACCCGTACTTGATTTTTTTGGTGCATCATATTATGGGTGTCTGTGTTGTATTGTACAAGTATGGCAGCAGCAGACACACACAGAGAGAGTTGAAGTTCTGTGTTTACCTGCTGCCAGACGCAAATGGTTCTCTTAGGAAGTCATTAGAGCACCTTTGTATCTGCTTACTGTCACTTTACTTTAAAAACTGAACACGATATTCTTAATTTGAGACTACCTAATTAAAATTAGGAGATGCTGTTTTCTCCCCTACATTTGATAGCACTTTATCTGTCAGCCATGTAAAGTAGGTAACAGATTAGAGTTTACTTTATGCCGCAGTGGATGTAGTAGTTGGTCCAGATTATGCTCGTTGGACTCAGAAGGTAGCAAAGGTTCAGTAACACAGGGTGTGCTGCTGCTGCTTCTCTCAGCCTGTGCGAGAATATATGGCCACTGTGAGATGTAGATGCCTGACACTCATCATGTTTTAGCATTTCACTGCTCCTCATTATTCCAGTCTGAAACTGCCATCTCTGGAGTATATGTTTTCAGTGCTGACAGATGGAAAAATTATGATTAAATTTCACAGATAGAATCAACCAAAACAGAAAACAAAGAAGCCATCGGACAATGGAAAATCTACTTAAATTGATTTCCTCTGTGGGAAAAGCATGCCAAATATCCAAACATGTGGATATCTGTGACAGCCCAGAGCCATGCAATGTTTACTTCTGTTTTGTGTTGCACAATGTTTGAAAGTGACCTCATCATTATCTTCTGGTCTAAAACACCCCCAAATTGAGTCACCTGGAAATCTCATCTTTGACATGGCAGTGACTCAGTCCATTGTGTGAGGCTAAATCCAGACAATGAGTCAATGCCTTGTTTCCTTGTGCCTAACATAAAGGTTCTATATAAGACATTCAGAAGAATCCAAACTATCACTATCTGTAGCGCCAGAGCGCCAGAATCTCAGACCAAGACACACACATCGACCACACCTCCCCCCTCCCTCTGCTAAATACTAGGATATTATATTGGAGTACTAATTTTTACAGTATTCAGCTATTTCTTTAGTGAGCTAAATCGCTAAACGTAATTATTCAATTCAATTCCGACAGAACTAGCAAAGCGTGACTTCATTGTCTGCTCAGGGTGCCATTACCTCAAATATATCTTTACTTAGCAAAGAGCTGTTCGCTGCTATATTAATGTTGAAAATCTCATTTATATAACCTTTAAAACTCCCCTCTGTGCCAAATAATGAACAAAATACTTCATCTTAAAATAAACCGAAGACAGTCGTGGAGGCTGTAACTCAAAACTCTTAATTTGTGGTTTGACCTGTGAGCATCATTAACTCACCTAATGCATCTTATAAATTAGACTTAGTTGGCATTTGTATAGTAAATGGCCCTGGGTTAATGTTGTATTTATGAGCTGAATCAAATGAATTAATGCTTAAATGAATTAATCAGCGTTGTAGTCTTAAATCACTGTTATTTACTTCAAAAACTGCAATTAAAATGCAGGACAGTCTATGATAAGCATTAGATCAATGGAGCTGCCGCTGAGAGACCGTGTTCAGCACCACGGACAGCGCCGCGCATCGATACGTGCTGAGCGGACGCCAGCGCAGCACCCGGTGGGGGGGACAGCTCCTCGAGGACAGAGTGTGGACTTTAGCGCAGTACTGTGTTTGAGCCACATGATGATGATGGTCTTATTGGTCTCTCTTCCCCACCTAACCACCAGCCTGCTCCGCCTCCCCCCCCCCCACACTCTCCCGATCTCCCTCCCACCCCCT